AGTTTGTTTTCATAGAGCATGTGTGTCTGCCTGCGTGCATGTGTGTGTGTGTGTGTAAATAAAATTAAGACAGACTGCTGAGTTGGAGTGTCTCACCTTTTGACATGCTTGGTGAGTGTTTTCTTGGTGGCATGCAGTTTGCTACAAATAGGACATTTGTGCTCCTTCCTCGGGAAGGGAACATCGCTGGTGTGCTTCTTCTTGTGCACGGTCAGGTTCGACTTGGTGGAGTAACGCTGAAAACAAAGGTCACACTGGAACGGTTTCTCTCCTGTGTGCACTCTGGTGTGACTCTCATACTTCCCTAATGACGCAGAAAAACTTACATCAGTTATTATAGGACAAAACAGGAAGATTACGCCTCTACTCTTCTAAAACTAAAACAATCAGAGCTTTTATTAAGTTTCTGATGCTGGCAACTGGTGATGTATAAGAATTAACATTGCTGTTTGAATTATTAGCTCTACCTCCTATTTTATAAATCAGCAGAAAGGAAGAAGAAGTATCGGAATAATAAACAACAATTATGATTATCATTTATCAATCAAAAAAGGCAAAACTGTATTTCCAACAGCTTTCCAAATGAGATACTGCTTTTTTTTCTTAAATCAAATGTATTTATTTCTCGATTATCCTAGTAAGTTGAATAAAGATATCAAACTAATAACATGTTTTTGGCTGTGGTAGACTGTGATGAAGCTTTCAACAACTTTCTTATATTTTATACCACACCAGGAATCTAATTGTATTAACTAAATTAATTAAAAACTATAATCAGTAAAAACTGTCAAAGTTAACTAAACTTGTTTAAAGTTTTGTAATTGTTTTGTTTTTTTCATTCAATTTGTAAAGGGACCATGTACAATATTAAACATAAATGTTGCCACTGGATGCATTGTGCCAGTTAGCTTAAAGCTAACTTGCATCTGCAGTGGAGTACATTACAAACACACACCTGCTACTATAGCAGCAGTGTTTCCCCTGAATGCGTCTTGCAGCTGAGGTGCACAGCTGCTGAAATATGACCTGCTGGGCTCCAGCTTATCTCCTTAGAAACTAACATTATATTAATTTGTGTTACAGATGTGACCATCGTTTTGAAATAAAATCATAAATAAGATAAAATTTTCTTTGGTAAATTTCTGATTCCTCCCGTCTTTTGCCATTACCCACGAGCCAGGTTATGGCAACAGGGTGGTTGTTGGTTGATTATTTTGTCCAATAAACGTTAATAATTATTTTAAAGAAAGTAATTTTTTTTTAAATGACATGCAACTTAAACATTCTTCCACTTCACCTCCGCTGCTCCTCCACCTCCAACCGAGGGGAAAAACTGAGGAGGATACTTTAATGACAGCACAGATCATACAGACTCTCACTCGATGGTTCCCACCTGCGCGGTCGAAGGTCTTTTCACATTTCGGGCACTTAAGAATCTTCTTGCTGGAGGTCTGGATGATGACTGGAGCCAGACCTTCAGGATAAACTTTCCCCTGAGCAGAGCTTCCTGCTGTTGATACTCCAATCTGTGAAAAAGCTTGATATGCTCCATTTTCATCCAAATAATCTTGACTTGTAATATCATCCGCTGGGAAAACCTCCACAACTTCCTTCTGAGTGACGGCGTCCTCACTCATGTCTGCGTCCTCTTCCGCTTGCTCCACATCAACCATATCATCCGTAAAAACTGGTTTTCGTATTTCCAGTTGCGACACTTGGTTTCCCACAACCACCTTTTCAATGTCTTCGTGTTCTTCTGTTGGCGATTCAGTCCTTGGTTGTTCCTCGGGTGTGTTGACGCACTCGAGATTTTCTCTTTGATACTTGGTGGGTGTTCTCCTTCTGCGAACTGATCTCCTTGTGATCTTTTCTGCTTCATTTGACAATTCCTGCCGTACACCAGTGTGACTCTTCTCCAAGCTGTTGTCCAGGAAGTTTTCAGAGCTTAAACGACAACTAGGAGGGCTCTGGTTGCTGGTGTCACCTGCTGGCGAGTCACTGGACGACATTTCCATCTCAGGAGTCTGTCTTATCTCATCCCGTGCCTTGATCAAACGTACTGACTTGTTGTCACCTTCCTCACACAGCAGCTTCAGTATATCCATCATGTCCAGAAATCGGGCTGCTTCTATAAGAGCCGGGAGCTCACTCTCAGTAACCGCAAACTCAGAGGTGTACAGAAAGCCAAGCAGGTGCTGGAAAACAGAGTCCTCCACATGGTCCAGAGTCACATGTGCTGTGGCAGGGTTCTTGGAAAGCTCAGCGTGGAAGTAGCTGCTCCCATGGGCCAACACCACCTTGTGGGCGCTGTAAACGGTCCCACCCACGGACACAGACACATCACAGAACCTCTGTCTGACCCGGTCCTCATTCAAAAACCTTAGAAGGTCATGGCTGTGCAGCTGCATAGCCAGGTGCATGATTTGTGCGGTGGATTCTGGGAGAGAGGATGGAGGTGGGGTACTTGTTGCCAGGTCGGCGCCTGGCTCTGTAACACAGTCATTGCTGGCACTGTCCTGCCTGCTGCGTTTGGTGCGCAGGGGATTACAAGGCTTTTTCTTCATTGGCGTGTGTTTGTTAGGCCACCATGAATCATCCCTGAGTACGAAAGAAAGAGAAACAGATAAAACCTCACCAGTGCAAACTCTCACATGTGATGGGTAGTGATTAAGATTTGATAGGATTGGGATAATAAATAATTGAAAATGGATTAGCAGGTTAATGTGTCGTTTATTGACATCACAACAAAGTAATAATAGCATGGTAATGACATGAAGGGGACATTGTGGTGAAAAGTTATCATAACTATGAAAACTGAGCTTGAACTGATGCATAACATGTGAATACTAACATGTACATCAAAGCATCATATATCAAATCTACCACCAATAGTGAAACACCGTCCGTACGTTCAAATGAAGATATTAACTAGCCGTGTTAACATGCAGGACGGTCAAGGGGCTGTACATGCAAATTCGCTCTCCACCTCAAGGACCCCTACCATCAGGCTAACGGGCCCCCTCCGAGGAGAGTGTTGACAAACGACCCTAAAAGCAAACTATTTTTACCTTCGTATTAAAACTGTTTCAAACAGCCTTACCTTTCAGACACGTGCCAGGTATTCAACACAATGCTATGCTTCAGCTGAGATAAGAATTTAATAACACAGACGAAGGAACAATAATTTCCAAGATATCTGTTACGCCCCTTATCATCACCCGACCAGAAATGTCGGACACTGTAACAAAACGTTCTCCCATTGGCTGCTTCAGCTTTTGTCCTCTACACGTCTTATTTTAAACGTTAAAGACGACACGCTTTAACGGGCACATGACATGTCTCGACAAAATGCAAACTGTGAATAGTTGTACGAGTAAGTTATGTCTGTAACCCTGGAAAAGTGAAATTAAACGACGAAGACGTGTTCTAGCGAGATACAAATAGGTTCACGCGAGGTTTCATAATCATGGGGAATCATGGGAAATGTAGTACGAAAGCCTGTAGGAAGGAAATAATCAGTTGCTTGCAAGCATTTCGAAGTAGACATTTCTTGTATATTTTAGCGAGGGGAAAAAATGTCGGAATTGCTTTACCTTGCTTAATTGACGTTTACTACATAGGCCTACTAGATAATAAAAACATTTCTGATAGCTTAAGTTATAAACTACTATCAAATTGACTAATAATCAATATAAAAAAATTACCTGACAACCACACACAATGCGTTGTTATGTAACCAGCAAACATTTTATGAAAGCAGAAGTATTATCTCTACTTTCTTATCTTACTTACTTTGTCTATTTATGTTTCATATTTATATTTACTTTGTATTTTTATTAATATTATAGTTTTGGGTTTTTTGATCCTTTAACCACTTGCTTCTATTTATTTTACTGCTCTTACCTTCTTATTGCTGTTATCTTTTTTTTTTTTCAGCTCTTTTAGTTTCTTACATCTTTTTAAATCTTTGGTCCTCTTGGTCTCAGCTCGTGTTGTTGGGTTCTTGTGTTGCCTGGGTTCTTATCATGGTTCTTGTGACAGTCGGGTTATATATGTCTGTTGGGTATCGTGCACTTTGGGTTCTTTTCTGTTGAATTGTATTTAATTATTTTTAGTATTTTGCATTTGTTATATTCTTACTGTTGTTAATGTTCTTCTGTGTTTGGTTTAGTTTGCTTTGTTCTTGTTTGTCAAAGCACTTTGTAAACCTGTGTTTTTAAAAGGTGCTATATAAATAAAGTAATTATCATTATTATTATTATTATTATTACTGCTGTCATGTGTCCTTGGCCTTTCTGATTACATATTTCTCTGCAGGCCTCCTTATTAAGTACATCCATGCATGATCCATACACACAGACACACACACGTGCACACACACACACACACACACGCATATATACACATGTATATATTTTCAACATGTATTTCTTATGTCTACAGAGCAGTTTGACTGCTCTTAGGGAAATTACTTGTGAGGACGAGTGACGTTTTAATGACAGAGATACTTACTGGATTAGGATCGTTGACCTAAGTTTTCTTTTAAAGACTGGGCCTCGGTCCAGCCAATTGCTGCAGGCAGATACTCAACTGGGCACCTGCTCTTCTCTGCACGTGTGCCTGAGTGTGCACACAAACATTTAAAGTTGACGCCTATATTGTTGATGGTCTGTAAGTGGGGTTCATTTATTATTATTCATTTATTCAGTTGTAATCAAAATATTTTTTTATTTTTTCATATCAGACAAGGTTCACCATCACGTCCCATTGTTGTCTTCAGGCGGACCTCTTTTGTCACTTATATAAGAGTAAATTAGAGGTCTGTCTCAGGAAGGTGTTTGGAGTTTCTTAAATTAGCCTACTGGATGAACTTTCCCTTTGCGAACACATTTAATGTGTAAGACATTGTAAGTGCATTAGCTTAATCCCTCCTATCTGTTTTGCAGCGCTTGAAGAAGTTCAGTTAACGCAAACAGTACATGCAAGGAGCAGAGCTTAAGATGGAGCTGCACACAAGTATTCCCCATCTGACCTAAGATGAAAATCTTGCCAAAAATCTTGTAATTTGGAGTACTTATTAAGGAAAATGTTGAGATTCAGCGTGCATGTGTGGATATTATGGTTGCTTTATGCAGGTAATGTTGTTGTGTTTGTATGTCTTTTAAGGTTATGTTGCTTCATGTGTGTTATGAGAAGGTAATTCATGTATTTTTCAGATTGTGGTTTATTTATTTCAGCCATATTTTTTTTAAGTAATGCAAAGTGTGACAGCCTGCCAGTTTTACAGTTGCTATTATTTTAATTTTGTCCCTTAATGTAGTAATAACACTTTATTGACAATAGGGTTTAAATGTGCGAGCAGTTAAATTTTGCCTATGAGTTAATAAGTAATATGTGGTGGTTTAATTTCCCCAGTTGCTTCCTCGGAGGAGAGCATCAGTGGATGTGGTCAGCAGCCATGCCAAAATGGTGGTGTGTGTGAGAGCACCGGTGGAGGTTACAGATGCATTTGCTCCCAACAGAGCCAAAAAGGTCGTCTGTACGGTGGAGAGAACTGCACAACTGCACTTTCAGGCTGTGACGAAAACCACTGTGAGAATGGAGGAATGTGCTCTCCTTTACTTGTCAACAATCAGCACACTTTCACATGCTTCTGCCTTGCTGGCTTCACAGGCCCTGAATGCCAGACTCCCACTACTTTCTCATTTGAGTCCAGAGGCTACATGTACATTGAGACTCAGCTTCTAGACCCAGATGCTCCTCTTAATGTGACATTTAGCTTCAGGACAGCAACACAGGCTGGAACTCTCTGGCAGCACAGAGTGGATGACCTGATCCTCAGGATTGAGCTGAAAGACGGGCATCTCTGCCTCCGCAGCCTCAGAGGTCAAGGCTCCATCAAACTTGTTCAGGAGCTGCCAGAGAACTTGTCGGACAACAAGTGGCACACGGTGGAAGCATCTTTGGGTGGCGGTGTGAGCCTCATCAAGCTGCTCTGCACTGAAGGAAGCTGCACCAGAGACTTCAGCTCAGAAATCCCTCTGCTTGAGCAAGCCTCCGCTCTCCCTGACCCAGGCACTGTTCGCCAAGGCCTCTTCATAGGAGTAGTTGGGAGGAACTGGAATTTGGGCAGAGCAGAGGATGACGCAGAAAACCCCCCGCCTTTTCTGGGCTGCTTCAGAGATGTGTTTGTTGGTTCACATCTGGTGTTGCCTGTTGCAGCGCCAGGAGATTCAGACGCCCAGGCAAACATCACTGTGGGATGCAGTGACAAAGACAAGTGCGATGAAAGCCCGTGTCAGAACCGAGGGCGCTGTGTGAGCCAGGGCTGGAGGAGCTACATGTGCGAGTGCCTCAGGCCATATGAGGGACACAACTGTTCAGAGGGTAAGAACACACACATTTACACTGTTGCATGTCACTTCAAAAACAGATCTGACTTTTTCTCTGCTACTTTCGTCAAAGAAAAACCTGGATTCCCAGCAGCCACTATCACTTCAGCAAACTTAACTCTTGTTTTTGTTATGAGGGGATGCTTTTAATGCTGTCCCACTATAAATCCAAGAGATGTTTTATATTCATGAAATTTGGGTGGCAATATCAAGTGAGAAACTGGTTTGACTGTATTATGGCTTTGGTGTTGTCATCGAGACAAAATGTTTCGCTAAAGGATTGATTTACATAAAGCCAAAAGCTTTAATCAGTGTAATGTATCAACAAACACAGTATATCGTTAATTGTTTTGACTGCCTTTAATCTGCCATATGGGGGACATTCATACATTAATTTGCATTCATTGCAGCATTGAAATGACACTAGTAGGCTGCTGTAAAAATGGCAAGGGTCAAGTTCAGTTCAACTTTAATCATTCCAATTCTGACATCTAGAAAGAGAGAGCCACCCTGAAGGATGACAAAGTAAGTCAGTAGCCATGCAAGGAGCTTACAGTGCTAGTAGAAATAGCACAGTTATATAATTAGGAGGCATTCAGCAACACCTGGGCTTTGGATTAAAAAAACGTGTGTTTCAGTAGCTGACCTGGAGCTCCTTTACTTTGGAAAATCAGAGATGGAGTCATGCAAAGCAGAGGTATCTTAGGTTATTGGTGTGCTGAAGCTCCTCCAGAAACATATTGGGAAATAGTCCATGACATCACCTGTCAGTCAAAACACACGTTTGCAGAGTAAGGACAGATTACTGTCCTATTAACTGCTCAGGGTCAAACAATAGTTCAACACTTAGACTCATAGTAGCTTATCTTAGCCTAGCATAGACTGGAGACAGGGAAACCAATTGTCTGTCTTGTGACAATCGTGTCTGATGTAGCAAACTTTACCTGCCAGCACCTCTAAAGCTCACTGATTAACACGTTTTATCGTTCGGAGTCCTGTCACTGCCATATTGTCGCCAGCTTATTCAGTAAACGCCCAGCCATTTTGAGTACTGTACAGTACAGTTCAAATCAGCAAAGAGATAATAGGCACTGCTTTGTCCAATTGGGCACCAAAATTGACAAAAATCTAAATTCATTCACAGGAGCTTTAAAGACACTGCAGGATTTAAGTTTAACATTGGCTTTCTTGACTTGTTTCTCCCTATACATGTGCAGAGTACATCACTGCAAGGTTTGGAAACAAAGACCTGGACAGTTTCGCCTCCTTCTCATTAGACGATGACCCGGGTGATTCTATGACTGTATCCATGTTCATTCGCACTAGACAGAGCAGCGGCCTGCTCCTCATCCTGGCCAACAGCACCAGCCAGTACCTCCGCCTGTGGGTAGATGAGGGCAGGGTCAAAGTCCAAGTCAACAACTTTGAGACCCTTCTCGGTCGGAGTTCGATCAGTGATGGCCACTTTCATCTGGTGACTGTGAAGTTGGAAAAAATGGAAGCCGTCTTGTTCCAGTCCGCTCAGATCCAGGACTCTGTGCACATAAGGCCCGTCCATGCACATCCTGGGGATCTGGTTTTTGTTGGTGGGCTTCCAGACTCGAGGGCTTCTGCCTCATTTGGGGGCTACTTTAAGGGATGTGTCCAGGATCTGAGGGTAAACAGCAAGAGACTGCAGTTCTATCCCATTGCAACCCCGGTTGAATCTTACAGACTGCAGCAACTTATCAACATTGCCCAAGGGTGCAGCAGTGACAATGCCTGTGCAGTGAGTAATATCTACTCTGTTCTGTTCATTATATTGTCTTTATCGAGAACATTTTTCAATCCTTATCTGAACTTTAAATGACTGAGGACGTTGTACGACCGGCAATAGGCCAGGCTTGACGGATCTGAAACGTTTTTCTCCTCATTAGGTCAACCCTTGTCTCAACGGAGGAGTCTGTTACTCCATGTGGGACGACTTCATCTGTAACTGCCCCCCGAACACTGCAGGGAGACGCTGCGAGAAGGTGAAATGGTGTGAGCTGTCACCCTGCCCTGCAACTGCTGTTTGTCAACCTCGATCCCAGGGCTTTGACTGTGAGTGTCCTGCAATGATCACTCATTCCAAATTCAAGAAACAACAATAACCTAAAAGTGCTCGACTGTGAGATTAAGAGTCTGGAATTGCCAATAGGATTTATGCAATGAAGAGTATATTTAGACAGCCACCAATGCTATTTCTAGCTTATAAGCAAAACAAAGGCCCCCAGTAAATTGTAGGTCTATTTTTAGCAGCCCATTTCTGATCCTGCTTTGGATCTATTGAGGGAACTCTCTGTGGTGTACAGTACCCTTAGGACACTCTCTGCCGAGGCACTGATTAATTACAGGTTGGCTGATTACAGAAGGGAACAGAGTTGAAGCAGGGATCCTATATAGGATTCCTCTAAGACCGGCTTATCCCTGGTCAGATTAAGTCTACCGCCACATGCCTGTTGAAGTTTGTGATGACAAGTCTTCCTGGAAAAGTCACATGTTCACAAAGAAAAAAGCAGGGGAGCTGTTGATCCGGAACAGCCAATACATCAGGCACCTGTGTTTACTGTAATAATAAAAATACATTTTATTTATAGCAAACACTTCAAGACACTTTACAGAGTTACATACATTCAGACAAAGCAAGCTAAAGGAAATAAAAAAAACCATTAAAACAATGTCACAAGAAGCAACATAAGCAGTTAAAAGCAGTTGTAAAAAGGTGGGTTTTGATCAGGGATTTGAACTGTGGCAGCTCAGTACAGTCATGGATGTGTTAGAGACTAAGACTAAAAAGAGACAAAAGTCAGCACACAAATGTCCTTTAAGTTTCCTTTATCCGGGTAAGAACAGCAAAACATCAACGGACGCGTTTCAGCACTAGGCCTTCATCAGCGTATAAGGAAAAATGTCCAAATGCAGAAGTGAAGATGCATAATGGATCACCCACGATACAATTACAGAAACCATTGCCTATTGTTTGATGACGATTAAGTATAACATTGATTTCCTATAAACAGAAATTTGTATAATTTAAGACAACTTCCCACTCATAGACTATATGTCTCCATTGTCATGTTTCAATTTGTGATTCAAATTCTGCTTAAAAATACTGAATCGCTTATTGTCTGAGTAGTATTGTCCAGTGGTGTTTCAGCGTGCTTTGGCTGTATGCAGGAAAACAGTTTCTGTGGAGCACAGTAGAGGCGTGGCCTCAAAAAGTTGACTATCGCTCCCAGAGGCTCAATTGTTTTCAGTCATTTTTTTGTAGCCTGGGGTTAAGTTTGCAGAAGCTACAGTATCCAGCATGGATAAATGATAGGGGTGGTAATTGGAATAGCTGCTCTGTTTATTCAGTATTTTTCATTTCTGCCTTCTTGTCAGGTCTGTCTAACCTGACATTTCGGGCTGAGAGCAGCATTTTGCACTACCAGAGCAATGGGAAGATCAAGCGTAGTCTCAGCAGTGTCTCCCTCAGCTTCCGCACAAGACAGAATGCTGCCACCTTACTACGTGCTGAAAAACACTCAGACTACCTCACCATCTCTGTCCTGGACTCTAAGGTGGTCATGGAACTCCAGGCTAACAATTCAACCAGGGTGATAGTTCAAAGCCAAGGCCCAATCAATGATGGAGAGTGGCACAGTGTGGAGCTCAGCATGGAGAACCAGATACTCCAAACCTCCAGGTGGATAATGGTTTTGGATGGAGACAAAGAAGAGCTGAGTGTTTCCAAGGCAGCTGCGAGGAACCTGGATTTTCTCAAAGAGGGAGCAGACATTTTCCTGGGAGGACATAATCTGGAGGCAGGAGTGAACATGTCTGGCTGTCTGGGTCCAGTTGAGATTGGGGGATTTTCTCTGCCATTCCATCTGGACACAGAGATGAACTTCCCCAGACCTCAGGAGGAGCAGTTTGCAAGGGTTAACGGTAACGCTGCCCTACAATATGGTTGCTGGGGATCCAGTGTGTGCGCTCCCAACCCTTGTACAAACCAAGGTGTGTGTGAAGACTTGTTTGATCTTCATCACTGCAAATGTCCATCGGAGTGGAAGGGCCCACTGTGTCAAGACCCAACAGATACCTGCATCTCCAGCCCCTGTATCTATGGCAACTGCACAAACCAACAGGGCGGGTTTAAGTGTGTGTGTGAGCTTGGGTACAGTGGTGACTTGTGTGAAATGGAGGTCGATATGTGTCAGAAGAGCAATTGTGGGGAAGGAGCCACCTGCATCAAAGGTTTCCAGAGCTATGGATGTCTCTGTCCTCAGAATAAGACAGGCCAACACTGCGAGTGAGTTTTTTTTCATAAATTATCAATATCCCTGTGACACCAAACTAAAAGTATCATAGACATACAGGAAGTCAAAATGTTCTGAGTTGTTCTGATTTAAAAATGATCTCTTTCAGTGAGATAATTCCTGAAATCCCATGGTACATTGAGATAAGTCCGTAAGTGCTTTTGTTATTGTTTCACTAAACCAAATCAATTACATTCCAAAAGGGTAAAACAAAATATTGAGATGTTTTTGTTGTTGTGAACTTTCATTTGTTCAGACTTCCTCAGTTGCCCACATCGACATGCGTTGGAATGAGGAGGAACTACAACTGCTATAACGGAGGGAACTGCTCAGAGGCAGGCGGCAGCTGTTACTGCCTACCTGGTTTCACAGGACTGTGGTAGGGAACACTTAATGATATTTAATCCCCTTTACTCCTTAGAGGAAATGACCCAAATCTTCAACTAAAGTAGGGGCTAGTGACAAATAAACCCACATGGAGTCCCTAGACAGGTCCAAGAATTTAAGGATTTATAAATTAATCTCAGTAATACATTTTTTTTTAATTTTCTATAAATAAAAAAAAAGAAATCGGTTTTCAGCAACAATGCCCAAACATCAAGAAACAGCCGTCAGAAGAAGTGAGACTCTAGTTAATGAACACAGTAGTATTTATCAGCTAAAGAGCCAGATATTTTTCCACTGTAGTTTCTGTAAACTAAAATCAGTGCAAAGAAAATAATGATTACCGGCCTTCAAATGAGAAGGTGGCCAAAAGCACAACTTCAGACGAATGCTTGTATTGCTTTGTACCAGCTTTCCAGAGACACTTTCAGCTAACGTGTCAACTTGAAAGGTGATAGTATATCACTGCCCCCTACTGGCCACAAATGTACCATTGAGGTTAAAAAAAATTCAATTGAACACTTTCTGTATGTGCAGTAAAGTAACATTCCTATCTAGTCCTCACTATAACAGCACTTTGAATTGTCATTTAGACAATAGACTGTAAATAATAAGGTTTAGACTCAAAGCTAGCCCTTAACTTTCTGTTGTAAAATCTCATGTTTTTCTTGTCTTTGATCTCAATTTCTTCTCTTCTTGTTCTGTACAGGTGTGAGAGGGATGTGGATGAATGTGCCTCGGACCCTTGTATGCACGGAGGCTTCTGTGTCAACTACGTGAACAGCTTTGAGTGTGTGTGTGATATTAATTACTCGGGGATACACTGCCAAATAGACGTGAGCGACTTCTACTTGTACCTCTTCTTGGGTATGTGGCAGAACCTCTTCCAGCTGGTGTCCTACCTCGTGATACGCCTCGACGATGAGCCAGAAATAGAGTGGGCGTTTCACGATAACGACTAGACCCCCTCCCCCCTCTCCCCCCTCTTCTCTCTGGTACGGTTGAACTGGGTCAAGATATATGCTCAACATGAGGTTCAAACTCCGTGAACACATTTTGCAAACTTGGAAACCCCCCAAAAAATCCAACTATGAATTCAATTTTGTTTCACCTTACCTGAGGGAAGAGGGAGCCACAACATCTGTTCCACTACTATTTGAGCTTATAGTTTTGACACATTTTAAGAAATATATTTATCGACATGGTGACAGTGGCGCAGGCCTCTAGTGAGCAAAGTGATTTTACACACTATGTACACTATGTTTAAAACACTCAAGATTGTTGTCAGCACTTTGTAACTTTTTCGACCCATTCATATTTTTGTAAAGTTGTTTTACAAGATCAAAAGAATCAGGGTTAGTTGCCATAAATAAACAATAAAATTAATTTGTATTATATCTACTAGTGTTCTGACATGATCAGTAATATAACCTTTTCTGTCGTGAACAGATTTATGTGAAAGTGAATATTACATCGTACTTATAATACTATGCGTTTCATCTGCTGTAATTCTTATACTGAAAACCAGAGATTGTAATGTGCCTTATGTTTTCACTTTATTCAAAGCACTGCGCTCTCATTAGTCACTGTTGTGTATCTGTTGAAGGCATTCAGTGATGTACATAAACTCACATTAACAAAACACATGATGTCTTTAGCTAGGAAGTTATGTACAAATAAACTCATACCATGTATAAACGGATGAAGGCTTTTCTTTATGCTGTGCATACAGAATCTGATATGTAAGATGGAAGGATAAATAAACATTTTGAAATATTCAGAAACTGTCTGATTTTTATTTTCAACATGTACAACTTCTATTATTCAGCAAAAAAAATAATTGTGGAAACCTATTCCATCATCTTCACAAACAAAGAACACACAGGTTTCACTTTAGTCATCTGATAAACTTTGCTTATGACACAAAGCCTTTAAATGTGCAAATAAGATAAACACAATAAAAGTAAAACACCTAAACACAGAAGAGGAAAGACACTTCAGATTAAATAAGACAGGCGGCCTCTACTGTAAGGTACTTGGTGCACTGTTGTTGTAAACGCCAGTCAACATGCCTGATTAAATATTGAAAATGTATTCACAGTAACCAAACAAATGACGATTTAAAAGGAACAGTGCCCCTGAAAAACGTCTGACCTGCTCCCGATGAGGTCCTTAATATGCACTCGAGTACTTTTAAGGCTTCTTCAGAGCTGCTCCTGACACCTACAGATTACCATATCTGATCAGTACAGCACGTTACCATCAGAACATACACACAGCTTTGAGTTACACATCAGCCTGGTTCATGTAGTCTACATTCACACAGCTCTTTGTAGATCCTCTTGCGTATCTTTGGTATGTCCTTCTGTGAAAACTGCAGAGGTTTGGCCAGGGCAAGACATCTTGAATACTGTAAAGGATAAGAAAAAAAGTTTGATTGTGTAATGGTTGATCAGCTTAAATAACCAGATCTTAAAATGGTTCACATGATGCTGATTAAAAAAAAAAAAGTGTTGTTACCTCCAAGACAAAAACTCCACAGTCATTCTCGTTGGTCTGTTGTGGGACTATCTAAGAAGGACAGCAGAGGGAGACAAAAGACTGCGTCAGGTGCTTCAGGCCTCTGACTTTTAGTCCAAGGCCCAAATCACATGTAGTATTAACATGTGATTGGAACGCGAGTGGATGGCCTGCAGTACCGGCGTGAACGCACCGAGGACGCATCATATTGCATTGAGATCGGATTATTCAGGTCACATTTGTCCACATTCATGTGTCCTGTGCCATATTAATGACAGCCCACTCTCCCGTACCCATGGCAACAAGCAGTCCCCTCAATTCCAATATTTAAGTGGTTTATTATTTCTCTGTTGAGTTTCATGGAAAAAAAAAAATGTTTTTCTTATGTCATTACATCACATGAAGACACAGTTCATACATTAAAGCCACATGTGCACCAACATATGGGATATATGGTATCTTTGCTACTTGAAACCCCTTACATGTAATCATGTGATGCTTTAATGAGGTATTTCAGTGTTGCTGTATTTGAATGATTTTTGTCCAGTATGGTTGTTGATGTCTTTTGTGTCCTTTATGTTATCATGCTCTTTGTGCACGACAATTCCCCTGGGGAAATAAATGTTTAATTTTGGCTTTTTTTTATTTCATATCAATTAGACGGACTACATTTCATTTTTCAATATGGGAAAACCCTTTACTGACGAGAGAGGAGGCAGGGACAGCGAGAGCCAGTGATGTGTTTCCTGAGAAGTTTTTTTTCTTTTTACAGATGTTTTGAAGAGCAGACGACAGATCTAACATGGAATCGTCTGACTCAATATCGGATGCACGCCGTCTCTTTTGTCTGTGCACACAGTGCTACAACAACTCCGGGGGCGCAAGGAGCCTAGTGGTTAGTGTGCAAGACCCCATGTACAGAGGCTGTTGTCCTCCAAGCAGGCAACCCGGGTTCGACTCTGACCTTTTGCAACTTTCACACATCATTCCCCACTATCTCTCTCGCCCCGATTTCTGACTCTATCCACTTTCCAATCTTTAAATTAAGGCATAAAAAGCCAAAAAATAAACCTTTAAAATAAAAGAGACTCCAGCCTCCAGTGAAGATCTCTCAATTGACGACTAACCACAGAACTGTAGAGGAACATCAGGTTACATGATCAAAGTTTTTCATCATGTCATCACTGCAGTCTGTAATCTATGCTCGTGCACAAGATCATCTGATCTTTTTTAAGGGTAATGAAGGTGGATGAGGCTCTGTGTTAATTTGCATAGAGAGCATTAAACTGAGATCTGATGACAAGTGTTTCATCAAGACGTATTTGGAGACGCATCATGGCCAGCTGTGCTGTCAGCGGACCACTTGTGACCCGCTCACCCAGTCCACCTCACTGCTACCAGATCTTTAACAGCCTTCAATCAAAACAGGTTATTAAAAAGAAATCTGCAGGACCCACCTCATCAAATGATATCGCCCAACCATTTTCAAAATCGGCTTGATTCTTCTCCTTTGCTTCTGTCATCAAGTATTTCAAAATGTTCTGTTCAAAACAAATGATAAAGACAAAGCGTTGTGAAATCGCGTTGCAGATCAGGTTTGTATGTTTGTGATGATGGCAAATGAAAATCTGCTTTTACCCTGCCAATCTTCTGAAGCACGTTCCCTTGAGAGTCATAGAGGCAGATCTTCTTTTTGACGAGGTCAGCTGTCACCAGACACCAGTGGACCTCCAAGTGGATCGGCACCAAAAGCAAACTCTTAGAAAACAAATTCACCTGCGTATGAAAGATTTGTTTAAAGTCCAAACACTCTGCTTTCTCCTCATCTCTAAAGGCAAACCTATTTTACAATATATTCATCATGCAGACCTAAATATACACAGTTAAACACAGACATCTCCATAGCTTACACGAAGTGATCGAACATCATCTGTTTTAGACCTCACCTGCTTTGTCCATCTCTTTACACCATCATATCCTTTTGTCATGAGCTGCCTGTGGAAAAAACTGTTGAGGAAATGGACCTAAGAGAGGAGAGAAATTAAGATACAAAAAAAAAACATATTAAAGAAACTGCAAGTTTATGATGTATACTTGCGAATTAATGATAATCAAACATCTTTAGTTAGCGTCATAAAACAAATAGATATGGGTCTGATGGCTTTATCAAATTATTAAAGGCGTGTATTTAAGAGTATGTGAAATAGTACGATTCTCTGACCGGATACAGTCTCAATTGTAGGGTAATATTTTGATGAACTTTAGGAATAGTTTGACAATTCTTGTATGCACAGATTGTCTGTCTAAACCCAGAAAGTTACTACGTCACAATAGTCCTACATGTGACCTAGCGAACACTACCGTTTTTTAAAACCATGTTTTTGGTACAGATGTGTACAGCTGCTGTTCTGTAGAGCTTGAAGGAGGAGAAGTCGTTCATCATAGTCACTGTGTCCGTGCTCATATCAAGGCTTAAACTCTTTTATTTCCTCTGCAATGAGGCTGTTAAATGTTGACAGAAGTAAGAGATATACAGGCCAGGTCCTTTAACCTTAAGTATACTTTAAAGTGTTATATCATGTTTTTTTTTGGAGCCGTGTTTTTTTTAAATAGTTTTTAAGATCCTCACAGCAAAGACTTGGCAAACCGTGCGATTGCTCTGGTTTACATTCATGGATCTGTTGTCACTGAAACTTGAATCTCTGAATGCTGCTGTTTGTCTTCTTTTGTTTCCTACTTCATTAATGTGATTTGGTTTGGCTGTAAATGAAATGTCTTTATAAATGAAAGTTATCTGAATCTGAATATTAATCATGTGTAGGACAGTTCCACAATGCAAACACAGCAGTGGAAAACAATATACCTGCAACTGGATAGGCTCCAGTCACCCTGAACGTTAGAAGCGGTATAGAAAATGGACGGATGAGCTTAAAGAGTGTAAAGTAGAGAAACTCAGCGTCATTGACATTATTAACGCCCTAACTCTGCTGCGGTATAAAGTGGGGGGTTAGAGGAAAAAGTCAGTTGGGTGTAACCCATTATCCAGTGTAGCTACTGCAGTCTTTTCATGGTTAGTTGTCCAAACAGCATTTACATTTACCTTGTGATGGGCAGATTCCATAATCAATTCTCCATACATGTTCATCACCTTAAGCAGAAACAATAAATCACATACAAGTTCAATACAGCATAACAACACAGAGGCTTTTGGAAAAAAATAAAAAATCTTTGTGTGTGTTTCAGGTGGTGTATCACCTGGTCGTTGAGCCAGTTCTGATCTGCCAGTGTAGACAAGTCATCCAGTGTCAGAGTGTGTTTTTTGTAGACCACCCGGAAGGAGGGAACAGGTGTTTGTACTAACGTATCTCTGTACTTCATCACCTCTGAAACGATGACATTTTTCCTGCGCAGGTTGGGAAATACAATACAGTTGGTCTATATTAAAACATGACCGATACAAAACTGAATTCTCAAACTTTATAAATCATTACTACTGAACAATGTGACTTAAAGAACACAGCTCTCGAGAGAAGAGATTCTTCATACAAATAGAAAGAACAGCATGATTCAAGGTGATTCAGACGGGTTTACCTGTCACTGAAATCAGTGTCAAACCTCCTCTTCAGATGTCTCAACACATCGTTCTTTTTCAGCGGGATTAAACTTCCATACGTTCTGTAGAAGTCATTAAGAAATTCTGGAGAAACATGGAACATGAAAACATTGTCAGTTCCAATAGCCTTGAAAAACAGAAAATGAAGAGTGGAAAAAAAAAATGAATACAAAAGCTAGATTTTTTTTTTTTTTACTTTGGATGTCTTCTGCCAGAACGTTAATGCAGACATCAGCTTGAGAAGACACTGTTGTTTTTGAGGTGATATTCCCATCTGTAATGCTGATTGTAGCCTGATCCTGAATGGCAGCAGTAAACTGTCCTGATTGGTCATCAACCTCAGGCCTTTGAGCTGGTACCATTGTCCTTGGTTCTCTTAAATTGGTAGGCACACCACATGCATCATTGTCTGTAGTCAACAGTGGCTTGACAGTGTGAGAAACTTCTGAAGGGTCAGACATTTTAATCATCTGTACCAAAGCGTCTTCTTTTTGAGGAGGGACAGTTTGACCGACATTCTCTAAAGCAACATTTTTGTCCATGACCAGATTCTGATGGGCGCTGGAGTCAGGCAACGTCTCTGTTGGAGTGATAAACTCACACTTGTTGAGCAGG